GAGAAAAGTTATTATTAATGTGAAGAAAAAAAAAATAAAAAAGGAAAAAAAGAAATAAAGAACAAAAAAAAAGAGAAATAGAGAGAGAGAGAGAGAGAGGGAGAGAGGAAAGAAATAAAAAATAGATAAATAACTACGTGGAACACGAGCATTCATATACAAATGAAGAGACGATAGGGATTTAAGGTATGCGATTCCGATGCAACGAGAAATGCATTGCCCGCATAACATATGCGGTTTAAACACAAACGAACACACACACGAACGCACGTATGCACGCGGGTTTACGTGTGTACGTAAAACTTACATATAACTATTTGTATGATTTTCCTAACGACGTTTATCATAACTCTCTCTCTCTCTCTCTCTCTCTCTCTCTCTCTCTCTCTTGCTCTTTCTCTCTCTTTTTCCCTCTTTCTCTTTTTCTCTTCCTCTCTCTCTCTTTCTCTCATGTATACCAACATCCTAACTAGTATACCATCTTCTTACCATCCTGAATGTTAATTTTTGGCATTAACCATACATTATGGCGAGCGTGACTATCTACTCGAGGTGTAACGAGTTAACGTATGATCGTGTTCCCCAAGGTTAATACAATGATCAGCAATGAATCCTGAATACTATTTTTCGAAAGATCATCTTTTCTACGTTCGTACTTATATCTTTAATTATATATATATATATATAAGTTTTTCGTTTATTTCATTTTTGTTTGTATATTTTTCTTTTTTTTTTTTTTGGTGATATTTGTAAAGTGTAATATAAAATATTTTTTTTTTCTTTTTTTTTCTATTTACATGTATGCGCACACAGATCTAAAATTTATTGATTAATTTTATGAAATTTTTTTTTTTAGAACATCGTATATGTTAAGAGGAACAAGTAATTTTTAATAAAAAAAATTCTTTCTTTCTCTCTCTCTCTCTCTCTCTCGCTCTCTCTTTCTCTTTTTTTTTTTATTAATACGATCTTAGTATTAGCTTAGTTATTATTAGTATAGTTAGTATTAGCTACTTTAGATATTAGTTTAGTTTTCTTATTTTCTCTATTTCTCTTTCTCTTTCTCTATCTACAACGACAGCAAGAAGGAACTATCCAAAGCACATTAATATATCGCACGTTTCTGGGGAGACCAATTAACATGATGTAGCGCCCGCGTATCCCTCTTCCAACGCGTGTCTACACACGAACGTACTAATTTCTCGCGTTGGATACGCGTCGTGTTATTTTCTACAGAACATGGAAGACTTACGTAGAGAGCCGATAGAATAATTTACGACTAATGTATTGCGAAATATGCCGGCAATTTCACGAAAGAGTTGAACGAATAATATGCGTATATACATATGCATTATACATACATACATATATATATATATATATATATTTATATATATATATATATACATACACATATATACACTATATTCGTGACTTTTGCGTTACACTCGACTCGAGAAAACTGAAAGTCGATGGATCGTTGACTTTTAATATCAAAATACCTACTTTCGACGTTTCGATTTCCATTTTTTTTTTAAAACTAATTCGTTTTCATTTTCAACGTTTGAAAATTTATTTGAATTTTGTAATACGAGAGATAAACGTTTAGAATGTGATAAAGATAGAGAAGATGAAGACGTGTTACATGAGAAAGAGGGAGAGAAAGAGAGAGCGAAAAAGAGAAAGAGAAAAAGAGAAAGAGAAAGAGAAAGAGAGAGAGAGAGAGAGAGAGAGAGAAAGAGAAAGAGAAAGAGAAAGAGAGAGAGATATTCTCTGCCTGGTATTTCTAACACGTCACTCCATATATCATAGATCTTGACGAGTAATTCACACAGAAACTGCAGCTTCCTTACTGTGGTGGCCATGTCGTCTTATTTAAGCCGATGCACCGATTGCATCAATTAACGGTAACGAGTGTCTGCTTCGCGGCTTCTTCAAACGATCAAAGATTAATATATGATCTTAAGTATACGATCTCCTAGAGGACATCTTATTCGAAAAGTGACTTATCATTTCGATTCTGTCTATATGTCTGTATATATGTATAAATAAGATAATAAATCAATGATTATGAAAATGTTCTAATTGTAAGTTATATATATAACATATATATATCATGTATATATCACACACACACAATATATATTGTGTGTGTAAATATATATTAGTTATCCATTATTATAATATAAATCGATGTAAAAGCAAAATAAAGTAAGGTAATAAATTAGATTCCTTCAGATTTTTTACTTTGGGTACTTTCATATTTACAACTATATATTTACTTTAAATTGTGATATATGTAAATATAAATGTCTGCAAACAAATAAATGTCTGCAAAAATAATGAAATTAAATTCTAAAAAGTATATTAATGTTACGAAAGTAATGAATGAAAAAAAGAAAAAGAAAGGAAGAATAGAATAGGTACAGCGGAATAAAAAATAAATTTTATTACTTTGTAAAACTAGATTTACTAATTCTGAAAATATGTATATATATGTATATATATATATATATATATATGTGACATAGAAACAATAAATTTTCATAAATGATGAAATAAAATTCTTAAAAAAAAAATAAAAAAAGAAAGAAGAAAAAAGTATAACAACTTAATTGAACGCAAAAATATAGACGAGAAAAAAGAGTAAATTTACTATTCTAACTAAAGCTAATATTTTCGTTCGATTATATCAAAGAAGTAATGGCACAAAGGTACAATTATTTACTTGGCTCTTCAAAGAGCTACATTGTAACGGTCACAATACGAGCTTATCACTTAATGCACGTACTATGGCACATGTATGCGTGCACGCACACCCACGCATACGTCTACGATACGCGTGGAATGCACTAGTCGTACGAACGACGAACGAACAAACGAATGAACGTACGTGCGTGCGTGCGTAAATATGTACGTACGTATGCGTCTCTGACAGCTTTGTAGCGGTTTACTAGCAACGACTAGTCGATCGTTTAACCGTTTCATGTCGGCCATTCTCGAAGGTTGAACGTGTCAAGGCCAATGCCTATACTCGTTACAAGGAACCATATATGCACGTACATATGCACATATACACGAACGTATTTCTGTATATACATACATACATACATTCACACATACATACATACATACACATATACATACATATATACACATATACATACATACATATATACACATATACATACATACATACATATATATATATATATATATAACTAAATTATTGTTAGAGAAAATATTCATTGTTAAACGAATAATTGTTTCTTATTCAAGAATGAGACATTGATTTTTTTTTTTTATTTTGTTATGATAATAAGAATAATGAATATAATAATAATAATTATATGATATATATATATATATATATATATATATATGTATATATATGTGTGAAATTGATTAGAAATATAATCAGTCTTGTTTTTATCTAACAAAGCTTTATATATCCAATGGGTAAAAGTTCGTCACATGATTTTGATTTAGCTGGTCGTAAAATTGCTTTCGAGATCGATTGATTGATCAATCGAACGATCGAATTTGATATAAATGGTCATTTAAATGTTTCTTTATATGCATGGAAAATGAAAAGGAGACCTAGATATATGCATATTTACTCATGTATATATCCTTCGATTATTATGAATATCGATAGGTATCATCATAATAACTTCTATAATTATGCAAAAACGTTCGTCGATCGATATCAAAATAGAATCTTCAATGGGGAACGAAAACTTCATTATCAATTATGTTATTTTTATGGTGTTACTTTAGAAATCAATGTGATAATTCCGATTTTAAATTATGCTTGTGGATCATTCAAAGAGAGAATGAGAGAGCTCGTAAACCGCATTGGATTAGAGAGAGCTTGTCTAATATCATATATCGCGTTGTCACATAAGCTATTCGATATCCGTCTTGTTCGATGAACACGTAGACTTCGATTTACCTGCCTATAGGAATATCGATCGGATGCCTTCGTTTTCTAAACGATAAAAATTACTGATATAGATTTATGATGTCACTCAGGATATGATGCACATTTCTCCTTATCTATCGTTAGATAACCATTGTCCACTTTATCGATATGAAGTCAATGTTCTATGTAAACAGTAGATATGGATTTTTCAATGTGAACATGTCATATTTACTTCTTAGTAGAGATTATAGTGACGTTAAAAAGTTACGGAAATGAATGATTTTATGTATGAGAAATATTATATATCTAACTAAATATATATATATATATATATATATATATATATATATATATATACATATAAACCCGAAAAGGCTCCTATCTTGTGCTATAGCAAGAAGAAGAGTTAAATCTGATCAATGACCTTTAAAATACTCCTCTTTGGAAGCTATAACCTTCTTCCAGGGATTCTTCCACTTTCAGAAACACTCCTTGTATTCAGCTTTCGAAATAACTAACAGCCACGTCGTCACGTTTCTTTTTATTTTCTCCACATCATCGAATCTTCTTCCCTTAACACTAGGTTTACGGGCGTTTCTTATATATCTATCTCTACGAGCACCCGTCAATTTGACGGGTAAACGAAAATAATCATTTTCTTTAAAAAATTGATGTATTCAAGTTAAGTCTGAATTGAACAATATTAGGCTTTACGTTTAAATAAATTATTAATAAGTAAAAAGCCTTTTTTTTTAATTATTATAGAAAATAATTGTTCATCTATCGATATGTTTTCATATGGCTTATAACAAACCTGGCTATTACTTATATATCTGTTCCATATTTCGGATATTAGTGTAAATTTATCTGTTTTTAATCTTTCGGATCATTGGTTTTTTTTTTTTGTCAAAGCATATGAATCTCAGAATTTCTATAAATTTATCTCTGCTCATTGTGTTTGCGAAGAAAACGGGTCCCCATCTTTTCGACCATAAATAAGAAGTTTTCAATGATCTCGCTTCATATGCGCCCCAGACATATAAAATTTCTAGAAAACTACAATACGTAACTCAGCAACTGTGATTGTCCAGTCTTTTTTCAAAACTCGATATGCCTCCGTTTCAGTTCAATCTTTTATGTGTTCCATTATGTGTCTGTCAATTATTAATTCGAAAGCACTAGTTACACAACCCAACATAATATTTTTCTTGGCGTATCAAGTAGGCCCTGCGATATCCTTGAATATCATACGAACGGGCGTCCTACCCCTAGATCCACCTGTTTTCAGTTTTATCCACTGTGTTCCGTCAACTGCAATATCAATTTCACTCATTACATTTTGGGATGTGCTTGGAATGCTCGTCCTCTCATCCTCAGAGTCAGAACTAGAAAGAATACGGATTTTTTGCTTGTTACGATACACTTTCAAGAAATTTTCCTCTTCACTATCCGAAGATCCTTCTATCTCTCCACTTTCAATATATTTAGAACTTTCACTCTCATCTTCGCTTTTGTCTAATTTATACTGATCTTCTTCGGAGGTATCCTCAGAATAATCTTCATTGATGTAGATAATTTCGTTCAATATTTTATTACATCTCCTCGATTTACTCATGATAGAAAAGAAGGGGGATTGGTCAAAATAAAAAAATACTGTGTCCAAATTCAATTACCCTATTGTAAATACGATAAACGAAGACTGTCTACAATAAATGAAAATTTTACACACTGTCTTTGAAAAACGTTCTTACTCGATCACTGCAACAATCATACTGAACATCGCTTCTTGTTTAGAAGTTTCTTTGGCAATAAGATAAGCGATTTCAGACAAAAAGATAAAGATAAAGACAAGGACTAAAACTCAGGCCATACAATCGGATTTTCTCTTTTATCAGCTAGCCCGTCAAATAGACGGGTCCCGTAAATCTAGTGTTAAGAAGATTTTTCAATTTAAGAAATAGCCAGAAGTCGCAGGTACCTAGATTAGGACTGTATAAGGACTGACGAAGCTGAACAATGCCGTGTATCGCAAGAAATTGCTGAATAAATTGCAATGAATAGGCAAATGCGTTGCCGTAGGTGCAGCATCACTGCATTTTTCCACAAATCTGCCCGTTTCCTTCTCACTGTGAGACGCAATCGTATCAAAATTATTTTATAATACTCCTTATTATTGTATTTTATTATTCACTAATTTTTAGGTAAACTAATTCCCAATTTTCGGCAAAATTTAATGCACACTCTTTGTTCAATACATTCAGTTATCGTGAAATGTGACGCGCATGAAATTCAACAGTTATTTACCAAAGTATTATTGCTGATTGAAAACTCGAAGGACCGTGCTATTTGCCAGGGACATTCATAAAGATCCCCTCTAAATGACAAAAATCTATATTTAACAATAGCACAGCCAGGTACAAAGTTATAGCACAAAGTCGGAGAGCTTCTGGAATAGACCATACATATATAAATATAAATATATATATATATATATATACATATATATATATATATATTTCAGTGAAGAGTATATTGAAAAATAAAAATAGACTGATCCAAGAGAGAAAGAGAGTGAGAGAGAGAGAGAGAGAGACAGAGAGAGAGAGAGAAAATAAATTTTGTTACATTATATCTAACATTGATTTTTATCTTGAATCCATTTACGTAATTCCATTTTGATAATAAAATATACGAGCTACACGTAATATGTATAGCGATTCATAAGTCTGACGAATCATCGAGATGAATCACTAGCACATAACTTTCATACAAAACGTATTAAATACGTTTTCACGTTTTTCAATATTCACAAAATCCTTTGATATGATAGAAAGACAAATTTTATGTTTTTAAATAGGCTAGTAGCAAATAAGGAAAAGCTGACGAAATCGAAAGTATTTCGTTTCTTGAAAAATTTTTAAGTGGAATCGACTACAATAGCTCGAGTGATTAACGGTCGACGTATTCTTGCTAGTGTAAATGGCGCCAGTGATTCTTTTCTTCACTCTCTCTCTCTCTCTATCTCTCTCTTTCTCTCTCTCTCTATCTCTCTCTTTCTCTCTCTCTCTATCTCTCTCTTTCTCTCTCTCTCTATCTCTCTCTTTCTCTCTCTCTCTATCTCTCTTTATTTCTTCCTCTCTCTCCTATTTGGTCCTTTGTGTCTGCCTTCTCTCGTCGCTGACGGCAGCAACGTCTTTCCACGAGTGTTCCTTTATTTGATTTGACTTTAGCAAAGGATACTTCCACCAAAAGACGACATAGATTTTACAAGAAGACGACGTTCAATAAACCGCAACGACGCGTGTCACCACCACGCCTTTGTCTCTCTCTCTCTCTCTCTCTCTCTCTCTCTCTCTCTTTCTTACTCTTTTTCTAGCTCTAACTCTTCCTTTAGAATGTCTCTCATATTTCTTTCGGTCGTAATGTCTCTCTTTTTCCTTTCCTATCCTTTATACCATCTCCTTCATTCTTCTCTTTTATTTTTTCTTTTTTTTTTCCAAAGGCGTATATAACTCCAAATAAAAAGTTTAAAATTACTTTAGAAACGCCAAGAAGAGTTATTACCACACGTAGAATTATGTGTACTTGCATATATTATATATAAAAAAAAAAATATCTATCAAAGAACAACGACGATAATCGATATGAATTCTTGTCGAAATAATAATCTATCGATATTTACGATAAAATAATAACTATTATTCATTTGTGAAAGATTATTTTAATAATAATTAAATATTATCGAAAAACGTTCGATACTTTCGAACGAGAATGTGAACATGTATGTATTCGAATAGAGATTCGTTTTATGTCCGATTATATTCATTTTTCATCTTTGTTATCTTCTTCTTTGTACACTCTTCGAAGTTCAAAAAAGAAATTTCAGAATACGAATCGTTAATCGGGGCAAGATTTGTAGTAACTATTATTTTAAAGGAAAGGGATAATAAAATACAGTGCGAGTAAGAACGATATATCTTAAAAGGACGCCGAAGGCCGACTTGAATCGTCATTCATTATTCCTCCTGTTCATTGTCGTCGCTATTGTATCTATCTATCTATGGAAACGTAATTATTCAATTTTCGTCTTTTACAAAGAACAAAAAAATATAATTATCACAAAACTAAACTTTGCAAATTTGAATCTGCAAAAAATGTGAAAGATCGATGTGACAACATAGCTGTTCTGATCGATGGATAGATAGATCGAAATGAAGGAAAAAAAAAGTAAAAATAAAACAAAAAACAGTAAAAATAAAACAAAAAAAGAACGAAGAAGAAGTAGTAGAAGAAAAAGAAAAAGAAGAAGAAGAAAAAACAACTTATACGTCACCGATCAAGAATTATGCTAATTCGAACAAATAAGATAAAGGTGTAGATCGCTATGGAAGAGAGATGGATAAGAGAGATAAATCTCACATGTGAAAGCTGCAACAAGACAAACAAGAATAAGAATAAGAATAAGAATAAGAATAAGAATAAGAATAAGAATAAGAATAAGAATAAGAATAAGAATAAGAATAAGAATAAGAATAAGAATAAGAATAAGAATAAGAATAAGAATAAGAATAAGAATAAGAATAAGAAGTTGATAAACAAATTATACCGATCTATACTTCTCGTCATTTATTATACATAGTTAGAGATCTAACAGCATTGATCATCCACATATTAGATATCTCGAATCAAAGATATGTTTTATTTAATTATATTTAATGCAGATGATATTGGATTATATTGTTAATAATTATCTATTATATTGGTATATATAAAACAAATGAAATGTATGTTCTTTCTTTTTCTTGAACTTACTAATATAAATATATTAAACTCAGTATTAATAATTAAGATGTCAAAGCTGCTTCAGGATTGCGTCGTTTATATTACATACTAATATTTTATTATAAATACTGATGAAATGTTTAAAAATATCGATCAGATAAATAGCAACTAAGAAATATAACCTATCTAAGTTTTTAATATTCGCTTTCAAAATTTCTAAACTAATTATTAAGAACAAAAAATCTTCGGGAAACGAATTCTATTATTTACCATCACTAAGCGATGATTAACCTCGACAAAAAAGAAAACAAAAAAAGACGAAGACAAATACGACTGAATTAATAATTATAGGAATAGAAATTGAAATAGTATTTATCTCTCTCTCTCTCTCTCTCTCTCTCTCTCTCTCTCTCTCTCTTTCTCTCTTCGCGCTTTCAACATCAAAACCAACGCGTAAAATTAGTTCGTAGAGGATAAGAAAAGAAATAAAATTATTTTCATCGCATAGTCCTTAGAAGTAAATATTATACTTACATATGTATGTATCAGTTACATATAGTTATACATACATACATATGTATGTAATATTCGTAAGAATTGAAAAGTCGACGCCGTTGGCAATGTCCGAGCTTATCTATCGCCTCCAACGCCTTTCAAGCGTTTGACTCGTTAAACATATCGCGCATATAGACGATGAGAAGAGAGAAGATGAGGAGGTGGAAGAGGAGGACGACGACGAAAAGAAATAGAAGGAGAATCACAAGCCGGATCCCCTTCGTGTACTTCTGTAAAATAACGATCATTGCCGTGTAGGAGCACCAACGAGACAGGAGTAGCAGCAACGGGAGCAATAGCAGGAACGCGTCTGTCGATTCCATCCTGTCCAGTCTCTCTCTTTCTCTCTCTCTCTATTTCTCTTTTACTCTCACCCTGTCTCGTTTAATCTATCTATCTCTTTCTCTCACTCTGGACGACCAGTTTCGCGATACGCATCGGACCGAAGTAAAACGAGCGTTCAAGAGATTTTAAGCATACGCCGGTCGATCGAGACACATAAGTAGACGAGAGGGAGAGAGAGAGAAAGAGAGAGAGAGAGAGTGAGAAAGAGAGAGAGAGAGAGAGAGAGAAAGAGAGGATTGAGAATTGAGCGATCATAAAAAAAGCGTCTTTAAATCGTTCGCCAAGGCATGTACTCGCGCGTCCAACCGCGTATAACACGGATAAGATCGCTCGCGTCCTTCGTGTAACTCGAGTTCACTGCTCTAGTATCTTTTCACCCTCACCTCGAAAATTGCATACATGGTATATATGTAGATATAGCTATACACATATATATGTGTGCGCGTGTGAGTGTGTACGTGCGTATTTGTATATATATATATATATATGCATATATATATATACATATATATAGCTTAAGAGTATAAATGTTAAAGCAGAACTCCAGCCCCATCGAAACGATCATCCCAAGTAAAAGTCGATTTTCTAGCGGTAAGCTGGGTCCCAGGACTTGCTTTACGATTATGCTGAATAACGCGATTCTCTTGGCACTCATATAATTTAACGTAATGTCCCTTTATGAATAGCTATCCTCTTTGCACGAAGAAGAAAATAGAGAACAAGAAAACAGGGAAAGAAAGGGGGAGAGATAGATATAGAGAGAGAGAGAGAGAGAGAGAAACGATCGAATCCGAAACTTGATCCGCAACATTGAGACTCGAATATTTTTATGATATGAGAGAGAGAGAGAAAAAGAAAGAGAGAGAGAGAGAGAGAGAGAGAGAGAGAGAGAGAGAGAGAGAGAGAGAGACTTAGGCTCGAGTTATGACGATCGTATAGACTTTAATTCTTGAGAATGTGGGTGTGCTGGCAAGAGTCCTCCTCTTTTGCGACCAGATGGCCAGGTATATAATCTTCCGGTAGTCTACGCATTTAGGAATGAACAACGCGAGTTGTATCTTAATGGATCGTTTCTGACGTTCTCAAAGAGTATCA